CAGTTTGTGTGTCCCACAGGGTGCGGTGGAGGGGCGAGTGACACGCGGAGCCCGTAGCTGCTGCAGCGTCACACATCACTAACAGCCCCCGTGGGGGCTGTGATCTGCGGGATCTTGTAATTATTTTGTGTTGATCTTCTTGCCTGCACTAGGACTGAGGGACGATGCAGTGATGTCGTGTTGTGTTACAAAGGCTTACTGACACTTTCTCTTTGTGACCCAAGTCGGAATGTTTTTTTTCCCACTGCCCACCTTTAAATGACCAAAGAGCGCTGGAGGGGGACAGGAGCACGTGGGGGTTAACATCAGGGAACCCTGCTGGAAGAGAGTCTGCCGTGGAGGACAAGGAAAACAGGCTTCCTTCTTAGCAGTTTAAATTTAGTTCCATGTAGCTCTTGAATATCTCAGCAAAAAATGCTGGAATGTAACGTGAGTGTGAATGGTGATGTCATCAGCCTGGATTTCTCTTAGTTTCTTTGCAGAGTGATCTGAGCTGTGGACTGAGTATCAGAGCACATCCTTCCATTCCCCCGGGAACGGGCTCACGCAGAGCCCTTTGAAGCACGCTTCAGAGATGCTCCATTCCTTCTGTGCTCCAAGGGATTCTTTTTTTTTTGCTGCTTTTATCAGAGCAAAGGGTTTGAGCTTCTCAGTGATTTTTGTGCTGTTATGTGTGTAAAATATTGCGGTGGTCTTTCACTGGGTCAAAAATCTTCTTACAAATGTAGGGAAAAAAATGATGCTTGGCCAGGCAGAGTTACAAGACTTCTGACAGTTTTTTTTAAATCTGAATTTAAAAAAAGCAGATGCTGGGTGCCTGTATGCCTCCTGGATCCATCTTTTCCCTGTCAAGAAGGGGGGATGCTGCTACCCCTAGTCTGTTTAAAATTGGTTAGAGCAGTGTGAGGTGCTTCATATCCACAGGCAGAGAATGCTGCTGCTGTGTAGGGTTTCCTCAATGAGCCTGGGAAAGAAATAGGTTTTTGTAGGTTTGGGCTTGGCTAGCCTGTAGCTGACTGGCACTTCTAGTCCCTGTCCTCTTCCCTCCCATGTGCCCTGTCTTTTTGCCATTGATTTAATTTTACTTTCTGCCTGTAACACTTGTGGCATTCTGAAAGATGATTGTTGCCATGTAGGATCACCTGTTTGTCTTGAAATTCATATTTTTCTGGTCATTTAGTTTGTATCTGTCTCTAGGCTTTTGTCCAGGCAGAATGCAGTCAATTTGTTGTAATCCATTTAAAATAAGTGACTGGATCGTAAGTAGATAAAGGATTACATGGGGCAGCTGAGAATTTCTGTGGTACTCCTGGGTGTGCTGGTAGGAGCTGAGACATTCTCTGGCTTCATTCCAACCTATGGTAAAGTTCAGGTAAAACCCTAGAGAAAATGAGACAATTTATCGTTCTCGTACGAATCAGCAGTTGCTTTTTAAGCTGTGAAATCCTAGACTAATTAAAAATTCTTACAACTTATTTGCTAAAACTTTAAAGCTTAGAGCTTGGGGTGGTCAAAAAGATAACTTGGGAAAATACAAAATATTGGAATTCTAGCTTGTGGCAGCCTTCCTGTCTCTGATTGGGAAAAGGGAACTGAAGAGGCATTGACACAAGACTACCTGGGCGTGGGTGTGTGGTTCAATGCACGGCTCAGGCGCTTTCACCTTTTGTGGCCAGTGTCACAGACCAAAGGAGGCTCCTGCCATAGAAATGCTCCCTGGCAGAGCTGGAATCGGCCCTACCCTGCTCCAGGTGAGGCTGGGCAGTGTCACTTCCGCAGCAGTGTTCATTTTCTGTGAACAGGAAGAGATTTGTTAGTTCCAGTGAAGAATTTTTTGTAGAGCGGTGTTACTGCTAGCACACTGCTTCTGTTAATCCTGCCATAAAAACATCAGCTGCAAAAGAATCAGCTAAACAGAAATGTCAACGAAGTCATGCCTCTTGTGAGCAGGATGTGAACCTCAGCATCGCAGGAACTGTCTCGAGTGAAGCACTGTGTGGCTGGGCATCCCCACGGTCGCTGGAGAATGCAAGCAGGTGGAGAAGTGGTGTTGTGGCTTGGGGATGGGGATGGTGGCAAGCGTGAGGACAGCCGGTGGATACAGGCTCCTGCTGGTTACCCAGCGCAGGTTCATAGAGCGCTGGTGTTCCGTTTGCCTCGGGTTAGGTTGTTCCAAACAGCAGCCATCAATAGATATTTATTGTGGTTGTCTGAGATCCGCTCCCAGTGTAGTGGAGAAAGAACCAACACAGATGAAAGGTCGGAGTTGATGCAGTTTCCTTCTGTGGGAGGCAGCTTGCCAGCCCCGCTCCACGCTGTGCGAGGACGGCAGCAGCGTGGAACCCGTGCAGCTTGGTGGTACGTTGGGTGTGCTCCTCCTAGGTTTGTGCTCTAAAAGACATTCTTTTAAAGGCGTCTGTGTGGAATAATTTTTGTATAACTGCAAAATACCGTGTGTTTACTGTCTGCAAACTTCCTTGTGTAGAGAAAAAGACCATGGAACAATTGTAGTTTTCCAACTGCTGCAGTCTCCCCTCTTCATTTGCATGTACTTCCAGCTGGGAAGCTTACAAATTGACTGCTGCTGCTTCTGATGTCGAACAATCATCCCCCTCTGCCTCCTGGCTCTGGTCACAGCGGGCAGCGTAGCGTCTCCAAGATAAGAGGGGAGTGGAGTGGAAACGGGGCTTTCATTAGAGCAACACCGGCATGTGGAGAGCAGCGGCAATGAGCATTCCTTGTCAGAGTGCCCTGCCAGTAAATTTTCAAGTATGCGAGAAAATGTTTATTTTAAAGAAGCTATTAGGAAAGTTAAATTCAAGGAATTTAAATTCTTTCCGTAATAGTATAAATGTTTGTTTTTCCAGTTTATAGTTTCCTAGGGTTGCCTCCATGAGAGCCAGATATGTGGCTTGTTCTGGTGTTTCCGTGATGGATCCTGAAAGCTGCCCGAGTATGTGCACAGACGCAGTGGTTCATACTGGGAGTGCTGGAGGTCTGCATGGTCAGAAATACACAAGTTGTTGTTTAAGAAATAGTTCAGAGCCCATGAGGCCCTGATGCCTGGGGTTTCAGGAGGCAAACGCACACCGGTGTGCATTGGTGGGGCTTCTGTTTGCTGGGGCTGGTTCCTGGGAGCAGCTGCTGGTTGTATCCCAGGCCCCGGGAAGGAGAGCGCTGCCTGCTGCCTTTGTAGCAGCTGGGGCACAAGAGTGTTTTTGCAGTAAACTGGTGGATTTTTTTTTTTTAGCTTTGGAATTATGTGTTGATTTGAGTCATCAAAAGGATGGGATCACAGGCTAAGAGCCTCCCAGATGAGCTTGCCTCACTGTGCTCAGGCACCCCAGGGCTAATTACAGCAGCTGTTGAGGGCTATTTCTAATTACCACACCATGTCAGAAGACGAGACCTCGCTGAGTGCCCGTGGCCTCTGCGGGACCTGGTCAGTGCTCGCGGGAACCGCAGGTTTGGAACCTGGCCGGGTGGGCAGGACATCAAAGGCCTTCAGCTTGTCTTTGAAGAGCCAGCCGTGAGTAGTCAAACAAGAAATTCAAGATTTGAGGGAGAAAGAAAAAACCCTAAACTGTGTATTTCGATGTGCTGGGCCCTTGCGTGACCTACTTTCCAGCCTGTTTGCAGCGGCGGCGAGCAGAGCTGCTGTTGTCACACATAGTGTTTCCGCAGGTGACACGAGCTGAGAGCATGGTGGCCGGTAGAGTGTCTGGTGGCCGCAGCGGGCAGCAGGGTATGTTTCCGTCGGGATGGGCGGCAGTTGGCCGAGGCAGGGATGAGCTCTTTCCTTTTTTCCATTGATGAAAGGCTTTCAATGTGGCATTTCTGTGTGACAGGAAGTGATGAGAAAGTGCTCTGATAGGTTAGATTTGTATTATCGTGTTTGCTCACAGTCTGCAGGGGGTTTGAGCTCCTCTGTAACTTATTTGAAATTAAGCCGTACCGATTTTAAGCTGTGTTATGTATGTAAGTGTAGATTATGCTAAGAAGTAATTGTAGTTGTAGACTAGTCTTGGGCAGTTGGGGTAGTTTTGCTGACTTTACAGGAATGCTGTAATGAATTGGAACAATACGTTGGGTACGGTAACCTGTTCGTGGATCTGTTCAGCTTTATGTGCAGGGAATGGAGAAGTGCCAGGCTCCTGCAATTCAGTAGCTTTGTGTGAGTAGATGGAATTATACCTACAGCTATAAGAAGCCTAGAATCATGCATTTCTGTAATTCTGCAGTGCCGGCTTGTTTAGGTAGTCTGATTCTAGTAGGAACAGTTTGTCTTAAAATTTTCTGTCCAATGTTTTATTCCTCCATAGAGTTGAAATGCACAGTGGTGCTGTAAAAATAAAAATCAAAGACTCAAGATGGTGGGATACGCTCTGCTACTCACAGCTTTCTGTTCTGCAAGTAGCTGTGTTGGTTTTAACGTAGAGCAACTCCTGGTGCGAGAGGCAATGGAGAAGGGGATCACAGAGCTTTTGTACCTGGGTGCTTGGGGCTCTGCTTCAGAACGCTGGTTTGTCTTTGGCTTAAATGTGCTTACTGAGACCTCTTGGTGCTGTTGTCCTGGCCTTTGTCAAGAGGACAATGTGTTTTGCTCTTCCTGATCAACTGCATGATTGTTCTGTCTTAACCTAAAAGAAGGGAAATCTTGTCTGATAGGAGTAGTCAGGAGTCTGGTTTGTTGGATACAGGAGGAGAGTGTGGCTGTCAGCACACAACACTACATTTAGTGGCTTCAGAGAATTCAGCAACGCTTCAACTCCTAATGCTTAGCTGAAAAGAGATATTGGATAGTGGTACTCAATTACAGAATTGGATCTTACTCATATTTAATTTATGGAGGTGAGGTTCACTGCCCATTGTCAGTATATTTTCACTTACCCTTCTGTTCAGCTTCTCTACAGCTTAATCTCAATTGTTCTGCTTTAGGAGTGCCTGAATATAATTTAGTAAAAATGCTGTCAGTTTACCTTTCGTCTTTTCTTTTCCAGCGGGGATCTGACGAGCTTTTCTCTGCTTGTGTTACTAACGGACCCTTTATCATGAACAGCAACTCTTCTTCTGCAGGTAATGTTGCCTATAAAAAAGAATTGCAATTTATAAGTATTGCAAAACTATGAGGAGGTCTAGTTTTTCCCACTTAGTCTTAATTTTAAAATCTGTTAGGCCTTTTGTAGGACAGTGCTGAATGGTAATAAATCCATAAGAGGTTAGTAGACTGAATAACATTGTTGCAGGACGGTTGCTAAAATGATTTTACAGAATTAGAACGTGCAGGGTTTGCTGTAAACTGTTAACCTAAAGCACAATTGAATATGTAGGGTTATTTTGGGTGTACGTAGTAAGTTTGCTGCTGTTTGGGAGTCTTACACCATCTAGAGGTTGGTAATCCCACCCAAGACAGTATCCTTGGGTGCTCAGTCCAGAATTTTGCCCTCTGTGCTTGTCAGGACCTTGAATTGTCTTTGAGCTGCCATTGAGTCCCTTTATGTTCTGCCTGTGGCCTCCCTGCCAGGCTGCGTCAGCTCGTGGTGTTGCTGACAGTCTTTGCCACCTAAAATTACGCTTTTGCTTCATATTTGTTGGAGTATCACTTGCTTTAAGGTGTCCCCTTCAGACTGCTTCGTTGCTGAGAGTACCAGTCAAAGTGCAAAGGAGCAAAGCGGTGACGCAGAGCTGGTGGATCAGACCTGCCCAAAGCAGAGCTGTGGGTGGGTGGGTGCTGCGAACAAGCTGGAAAATGGCCACTGGGGAGTTGGTTCCATTGCGGTGGCATTCGGCTATGGCACTTGCATAGTGTAATTTGGGGGAAAAAAGGGTAAACCTGTGTGCCTTCAGGCTCTAGTTAAATGAAGCCTATGGAATTTCTCTGTAATAGAGTAATAACTGGATGGGGAGCACAAACTGTATGTCAAAAGTTGAGTGTGTGTATATTCTTTCAAACCCACTCTAATACGCAGTAACTCTTGCTTTTTACAGCTAATGGAAACGACAGCAAAAAATTCAAAGGCGATAGTAGAAGCGCTGGGGTCCCATCCCGGGTAATCCACGTCCGTAAACTCCCCAGTGATGTCACTGAGGCAGAGGTCATTTCTTTGGGCTTACCTTTTGGCAAGGTCACCAACCTTCTGATGTTGAAAGGAAAAAATCAGGTATTGTCTCCATAATTGGAAGCAGGGATTATGTCAAAGGCTTGATGAGTGTCATCAGTAAACCGGATCCAAGTTGTTCAAACAACTGTCATGTATTAGGAGTCAATAACTTCTGCATACCATTATTGTACTTTTCCATGATTGTCCCATGAGCTGTAGAAAATACTATTTTCAGGGTGTACGAGGAGCTAACTCCATAATTGTAAGTTGTCACTTATAATTAGCATTGTGCCTGGTTTTTAAATTACAGACCAGGACAGCAGTGACGAGTTGGCCTTTTTTGCTCAAGCTGACTTGACAGTTGAGTAACCACTGGTGTAACTTTGCTCATTAAGGACACCTTTACAGATACAATAACTTGGCCAGGTAGAACTCCAGCACTCTTGGGTAATGCAGAAGGTGTGCACTAATGTGGTAACTTAAATTGTCTTACAAATTAAGGAGTAAAAAGCAAGCCAGCTTTAATCAGCGCTTACAATACTATGTCTTTAATCTTGATTATGAAAATGTGCCTCTGATTGCTGCGTGGTGTGATTATATAAGTACTTAATGTAATGACTTGCTACAGTCCCTTACGCTCTCCTTTTGAAGTAGAGGAGACCATGAAGGTACGGAACAGTGGGTTGACTTGCTGCTCTGTAGAGAAGTGTGGGAGGTTGCTTCGTGTGATAAGAGTCTGGGTTGTTGCTGTATTTCTGTGCTCTTGCAGACACTTCTGTCACAGCCATGCTCCTAAATATGTGTAGCATGGGGATCTCGGGATGGGACTGAAAAATTGTTAAATCAGTCTGGACAGTGGAGATCTCATTGGTTCTGCAGTTGGTTCTTAAACAATTCCGTGTACAAAGACTTGGTGTAAATGCAGTTGTGAAATCCAAACACAGTTACAATTCAGGTGGAAGTTCCTCCTGCAGTTACTGATCACGTAATGCTGCTATCAAGTGTTCCTGCTGTCTCCTGGTGTGAGCTGCTTTGATAATATCTCAATGTTGGGTTTGACTTCTGTGCAGGCTTTCATAGAAATGAACACGGAGGAGGCAGCCAACACCATGGTCAACTACTACACCACGGTCACTGCGGTGCTCCGGAGCCAGCCCATCTACATTCAGTACTCCAACCACAAGGAGCTGAAGACAGACAACTCTCCAAACCAGGCAGTTAGTTTGTGTTCTTCACGCTGTCCTGCTGGCGGGAGGGACAGGCACTTCTGAGCAGCTGTTCTGGTTGCTGCTGCTGGTGTCAGCCTGAGGTTTGGGTTAATTATCAAAGCGCTGAACAGAGCATACTCACTTGTAGCTTATGGAACCAGGTCTCCTGTAACAGCTTTTGTCCAAAGTCTCAGTAGGCTGTTAGGGCAGTTTGAGCATCTCATTTAATATCAGGGGAAGTGAATGCACAGGGAACATGAGATCATGAGAAGTGGTGTGTTAGTGTTCTTTAGTTAGAAGCACTAACTGATCACCTGTCTAAAGACACTGTTAACTTCTAAGGGCTTTAAGTTGCTTTGTTTCTAATATCTGACAGATGCAAAACGAAGCTGTGATGGGGCAGAACCTGTCAGCAGCAGAGTGCAGTCTGTTGCTGGTCAGTGCTAGCTCTGTGGCGGGAAGCACTCAAACACAGCAGCTCTCAAGGCTTTGTCTGGGCTGTCTGGAATTTCTGTGCAAGACACACTCTGCATAGGGTAAAAAGTTCCCTTTTTCGGCTTGAGTGCTCTTGGCAATCTTTCAGGACAGGAACACTGGAAAGAAGTTCAAGTTACTTGTGCCTCCTTATCGGGGATGGCTGCCGAGCACATCCAGTTTGCCTCCTCTCACTTTTCAGGCTGCACTTTCATCAGGATCAGAGTATCTAATGCTGTGCAGATGAGATGCTGCTGTTGGGTGCAGCTAACAGAGCCAGAACCTGCTCCACAGCAGTGAGCGCGTCATGACGTTATGGGTGTGGGGGGGACTCTCTGGGGAAACTCCAAGTCAGTTTTCACTCCTGGATCCCTGGAGCAGATGGGCATTGATCTACCAGTCTTGTCAGCTTCTGTGGTGTTCTGGAGATGGTGTTTCACCCCAGAACAGCCTAATTTTCCCTTCTTTCTGAACAACAGAATAATTCTGCTGCAGCAGTAGATGCTGAGCCAGGTTGTAGCAGTAGCATAAGTACTTCATGTTTTATTTAGTTTATATTTTTGCATTGCTGATTGGGGTGGTCTGTATTGTCCACATTTGAAGAGTAAATTCCTTTCTCTTGCTGTGCTAACTGTTGAGTTCTGCTAGTACTTTGCAGATGGGAAGCTCAAGAAAAGCTGAATGTGTATTTTTGCAAGCAGGAGTGTCAGTCTAACAGAATATTTGGTTCTGCAGCGTGCCCAAGCAGCTCTGCAAGCAGTGAACTCTGTTCAGTCTGGAAACCTCGCGCTGTCAGCCTCTGGTGCAGCAGTAGATGCAGGAATGGCGATGGCTGGCCAGAGCCCTGTCCTGAGGATCATTGTTGAGAATCTCTTCTATCCTGTCACTCTAGATGTTCTGCATCAGGTAAAACATGTTGCCCCAACCTCTTGAAGGTTGTCCTGGAGGAAGGGGCAGCAAAGAAACAGTGAATTGTTGTATTTGCAGTGTCTGTTCTAGCAGCATATGGTTTTTATCGACGTAATTCCAGTTCTGAACATAACTGTCAAATTTCCACTTTCTGGAGACACTGACACCTATACAAGATTCTTCTATTTTTGGTCCCAATCTGTCCAGGCTTTAATTTCCACAGGTGTGATTGCTGGTCCATTTTAATTGGATTACCGTCTGGTACAGTGCAAGGGACTGATATTTGTTTTCAAGGCAGCTCTTCAGGTTCTATTTAGAGTTTAGCAGAAGTAGCTGCTACATGTCCTTGTACAAGGATAGGGGGAAACAGATCCCGTGTGCAGGAGTCATCCAGGCAGTAGCCTGTTGGGGAAGTTCTTGCTCTCTGCTGTGGTTGCTCAACTTAATCTTCATGTTTAAAATGCAAGCTTGACTGCATTTAAGAATCCCTGAAATTCTTGGAAAAGTTCCAGTTTGTGAAGGTGTATGTGAATATTCCTGTGTAAGAATTCATAATAAACTTTAAGGGGGCAGTTTGGTCACCCTGATGTTTTTCTAGTCTGATGCCTTGATGCAAGTTAAACAGCCCCCATGGTGTAGTTTCAAACCTCAAATTTTTAAGTTGGAAAACCTAACAAGATGAAAGGATAACTTTTGTTGTTTCTGCTTCTAATAGTGGAGACGAGTATGCAGTTAACTGGAAATGAGGTAACAAGATATGCAAATATTATCTTGCAGATTTTTTCCAAATTTGGCACAGTCTTGAAAATAATCACATTCACGAAGAACAACCAGTTTCAGGCCCTGCTACAATATGCTGACCCAGTGAGTGCTCAGCATGCCAAACTGGTGAGTACTACGCTTACAGTGCTGAACACCTGAACTGTTGGCTTGCTTGTATTCTTCTAGGATCAGTATCGGAAACCAGCATTTTGGGGTACTTGGTGGTCATGTTAGGCTTACAGGAGCGTTGCCCTAAGGGCAGATCCCAGGTGTGAGCGGGAGGGAGCCCCCAGGAAGAGCAGGACGGCTAACTGGGGCGAGATGGAGCAGCGCTTCTCCACGCAAAGCGAGAAGCCTGCTCCATCTGAAGATGCACGCTGGTCCCTGGGATGGTGTAACGCCTTCTCTCTTCAGAGATTTGTTGCTGTGATCTTGGGATAAATGCACCTTGGATGAAAAGTGGTTTGTTTCCTTGCAGTCTCTAGATGGACAGAATATCTACAACGCCTGTTGTACGCTGCGCATAGATTTCTCAAAGCTGACGAGTCTCAATGTAAAATACAATAACGATAAGAGCAGAGATTATACCCGACCAGACCTGCCTTCCGGGGATAACCAGCCCGCTCTTGATCAGACCATGGCAGCTGCTTTTGGTGAGAACTCTTGAAGTGGGGGCAGCACAAATATAACCAATAGTGTGTCAGCTGGGGAAGGGGGGGCATAATCCTGGTATATTTGGTCGTACAGAATTTTGTAATGCAGTGTGACTAATGAGGAAAATTTGAGAACCACTGAGTCAGACTAGTGCAAGATACTCGTAGGAACATCTGGATGTGGGTCCACACTGCTGCTTTGAAGCCCCTCTCCCTTTGGATGAGGACTGGTGGGGGTTTCCCAGCTGTCTGGGCTTCCAGTGCCGTCTGCTGTTCTACCCACAGGGTGGGCTCGGCAGTAGTTGGGGGTGTTGTAACCTATGTGTTGTGGTTAAAGGGTTACAGGAGCTTCTTCTGGCTTGTGTTGTGGTCAGCAGCTGTGTTCTCCTAGCTGTGGCAGAACAGTGGAGTTAGAGGAAAGCTTTTGTCATTTCTTGAAGTTCAGTGTTACCTGAGAAGCATTTTTTAATTACTGTTTGGCTTTTAGAGTTTAGCTTTCAGCTAAATGCTTGTGTTGGAAGGACAGATCAAGACATTCCAGCTAAGTCTAGAGCTTTCTTGCTATTGGGTGTCCTTGTATAATGTCTGTATCTTTCCCAGGTGCCCCAGGAATAATCTCCGCTCCATATGCGGGACCTGGCTTTCCTCCTGCCTTTGCAATTCCCCAGGCTGCAGGTACTGTATTTCGTAAGTTGAAATTTTATATAGGTTTTTCTGTTGCTGAAGCATCTTGATGTTCTAAAGCTAAGTAGTGATTATTTTTCTTGGGGTTAGTCGTGTAAGTGCTGAGTGGTGGCATTCAGGCACAGAAGGGAAGGGTAGTGATAATCTCAACTAGAAGTGGGAGTGTGCAGCTGTAGCACCTCTGGCTGGGCAGTATCCCAGGGATGAAAGGAGAATGAGTACAGGATGGGAGAGACAAAAGGCAGTATTTAAAATAATTGGAAATGGGGGAGGAGAAATTGAGTTTCCTCCTGTGGTTGCAGAGGTTGGGAACTCACTCTGGTGGCTGTAGTGAAGTTTGAAGCTGATATTGCAGGTAACAAATCACTGCTACTTACAGAAGTAGCCAAGTGTCAGAGATTAAAGACTGAGGCTTGAGGTGCTAAGTGCACCCATTGGAGTGCTAGACTAAACAATTTCTGCTTTGTTTTTCATAGCACGCCAAGCTATGTTGACTTTATTGTAACTTGATGGAATTCCCTTGCTTATGACAAACAAGCACAGATCAAACTGTTCAGCCCTTAAAGTGTTGTTAATATCCTGTCCTGTTGGGGAATACACAATGCCACTTTGAGAAGTAATTTCATTTAATTGATTACTAGCAATTGCTGCTTGAACTCCAAAGCTCTTCCCTTTGGAGCACTAGTAACAGTGAGGTGCCAGCTGTTACTGAGGGGAGTCTAGCAATGCCTAGAAATTAATGTTTCTCCATTCAATAAGAGATGAACTGGTGGTAGCAGACAGTGTCCGATGGGTATTTGCATGGTTAAAGAGCAAAGCGTTTGTGGCATGCGCTGTTGGAAAGACCCTTACAAATGCACTGTGTGTGGTACCTTCCCTGCACGGACAGAGCCGAGGCTTTGTGCTGATGCTTGTGAAACACGCAAAATATTGTAGTCAATGAGATGGTGCTGAGAGGCACATGTTAAGCACCAGGCACTGCAAGAGCAAATACTGTTAGAAACCAGAATATTTCCAGCAGCACCAGAAGTGGAGGCTCCTGTTGCTCTTAGAATGTACGGTCACTGAGCTTGAACGGTTACTGGCATGCTGCAGGTGTGCTCTTCTCCCTTCTGGTGCAGCAAATACACTAGAGTACGTGCTGTTAATTGCTTTACTGGTTAATATTCTTTGATTTCCAGGCCTGTCAGTTCCAAATGTTCATGGAGCTCTAGCTCCTTTGGCTATCCCATCAGCAGCAGCTGCAGCGGCTGCAGCAGGACGGATTGCCATTCCCGGCCTCGCCGGGGCAGGGAACTCTGTTCTGCTGGTTAGCAATCTGAATCCTGAGGTTAGTGGAGTCCTAACTTTACTTTTTTCCTCCTTCCTGTTACCTCTGCCTTCACTTTCTGAACACAGATTGTGCTGAAACTCATTGAAAGTGAAATCCTCCTGTATCCTAAAGGAAACGGCAAAGCTAGGAAAGCAGGTGGTGTGCTCTGCCAGCTCTAAATCTGAAAGCAGATCAGTACTCTAGTTGCTGAAGGGAAATGAGAAAGTCCATCTCAGATGAAAATCGTGCTCTTCCTTGGTTCAAAGCCAAGGATGCTGCCTGCCTGCTCTTGTCCCATAAAGACTACAATGCCTGTCCCTTGCTCCCTCTTCCATGTGGAGTCTCCCTGCCATTCCCATGGAATAGTGTCACCTGGGGCACAGAATAGCCATGCCCGTTCTGTCTTTTCCTTGGCATGTTCTAGTTTTTGATACATGAATTCAGAACTACATAGAGAGTTAGTTCTGACCTTTGCTCTTTCTGTGTAGTGTCTGGACCCATGCCAGCTTGACGTTGTACCTGTGCAGTGTTTCCTCTGCCATGTGCTTGCACATCTTCCCTTTCCAAGATTCCTGGAAGTTTTTCCTTAGCTAAGCCCCTTAACAGCTCACAGTGTACATTTTCAGTTCTACTTAGTGAGTTGGAATATTTGGGTTTCTTTAAAAATAAAGCAAGTAATACTTGAACAAAAACCTTTCATTAAAGAGAATTTGATACGGGTATCTTGGATTTTTCTTTAGTCAGCTTTTGGCTCTGTTGGATTGGAAGTGTAGAATCTGCTGGTGTGTGCAGTAGAGTATGATGAGCCTGCTGAAAAACTGTAACTGGTGGGACTGTGCACATGAGTTCATGCTACTTTGCAAAGCTATAAAACTTACCAGTGATGTCAGAGTAACCACAAAACCTCTTTCGCATCAAAGGGGAAGCCTGGATGTGATGAATGATCAAAATACTTAACTCTTGATGAGATGAGACAATTGAATCCATTTCGGACTACTCTTTTTATCTATCATTGCTGTTTTCTCCAGGGCATGAAATAATGGCAGGGACTGTGACCCAGCTTTGGTTTGGACGAGTTGCCATTCCAGGAACTGTCGTCTCGGGCTCGGTCCCGGTGACTTGCTGTTCAAACAGAAGTCTGAACCGTTGAGAGCTGGCATCCTTACCCTTGAGCAGTGTAACACTGTCAGTGGGTGTTTCTTGGGATGGCAGTGGCAGGACAAAGGACTGTGCTGTGCCTCTGTTTAATTTGTGTGCTCACAGCTCTCGCAGCAGTGTCTGAACTGTCTGCACAGTTCTTGTTTTAAGCAAGCGGTTATTTCATGCCGTGTGTTTTTTATGAGCTCTTCACTATCCATCCAGCTTATCTTTGGGCTAGAGAGACTTTGATACTTGTACTGAAGCTGTGAACTAACAGACCTGAAACTTTTTCCATTGCCTGTATAATCAGTGTTGTAGAAACTTACCTGTGCCACAACCAGTGAGTGAAGAGACAGTATTTCTCTGGAGTGACTGCTCTGCAATCATCTGTGAGGCTTTTTTTAAATCTGAATCGTGGAAACAGCAATGACTCCATTTTTCCTTTCCATGATGAGTGGAAGAAGTCTGCATGTCTCAGCTTGCACTGACTTTTACTTTGAATGCAGGCTTTTGTCTGCGTGCAGAGTTGGTGGTGTTGCTGGGAGCAGAGACGCTTTTCCTGCCTTTCTGGCTGAGAAACAGCAGCTTGGGGTTTCTGCGTGGCACGATCAAGCCACGGAGACGGAAGGGAATAGACTTCTGTTGCAAATGAGGTACCGAGGTCCTTTGGAGTGAGCGCTTCTAGCAGACCTTTGAGGTTTTCTGTAGTGGTGCAGCTGCTCACCCAGATAATGTTTTGCTTTAAGGCAGTGATTGGTGTCTAAATTGGATTTTTCTTGTTTTGTTACAGCCGAGTATGCAATATGGATTGATTCCAGTAGTCACTGGTCCTAAAGCAGCAAATCCAGCTGTGTTTTTGACTTGATCCATGGAGTAGTTTCTTCTAAGAAATACTTGTAATCAGAGAAAATGTTTTTAGTCAAATTTTAGGGAATAGCGTTGCAATTTGATTCAATATCGAAGCCTTCGGAAGTCACTCTGTTGTGATACTGTCTCTTACTTCTTTGTATATCTTAAGTAAAAATGCCTTTTCTTTATCATTGTGTTCCACTATGTAAAACCTATTAACTGTTTCTGTAAACGAGTTATTGTATGTAGAATTCTATAAATCTGACTGATGGAACACTACATATTTCCTTATGTATTTACTGACCTGTGTTTTTTTGCTACTTTTTTCTTTTCTCCCCATCCCTGAATTTTTTTTCTTCCCCTGATCCGGAATTTCTTTGCCAACTGACTGCACGGTACTTCTGCTTCCTGTTGTTGCTTGAAACAAAAAATAAAAACATTCCCCTTCCAAAAAAAAAAAAAACCCTGCTCTTCGGAAACCAACCTGCCCTTCAATATTAACCATCTTGAAAACTTCATCATCCATCAACCAATTTCGCCATTTCCTGCGGGGACTCTGCCCTTCCTCGTTGTGGACGATTTGTGCAACCTCGCTCTCCCCTTCGATTCCTTACCTCTTCCCTGTCCCTCCGCTGCCTTGCTCTGCTGTTCTCTAAAGAGAGTTACACCCCAATGCCTCTTTATTCTTTTCGGTATGTTATTATTATTCACACTTTTTATTACCTTGTTTTTCATTTATTTGAGATTACTTTTTTTGATACTTCAAAAATGTACAGTTTGCAGTTTGCCATTTTTTGAATGCGTAATTTCATTTTTACATTGTTAGTTTGCTATTTAATTTAGTTTGCCTTTATTTTATGTTCAGTTATGCATGGTTTATTGCTTTGCATGTCTTTTATAAGAGTTTTAAATTGTGATAGCATGCTAAATTGTCCAGTCTTCTGGCAGTAAGATTTTTGCTTTTTGCTGAAACCCAGTATCTTTTCTTTAATGTATTGTTCCATTATTATTCTGCTACATAAGAATTTTCCTTAATTAGAGCAGAATAAGTAACCATGGTTGGAATGAGATAGTTCTGGTTGTGAATGAATGTTTTTGCTTTGGATTGATTAGCTGATATATTAAGTTGAACGAGGGTTCCTTTTTTCCCCTGCCTAAGACTGTTCTTGTTTCTTCACTTTTTGAAGGAGTCTATGGTGATGTGCAGAGGGTGAAGATTTTATTTAATAAGAAAGAGAATGCCCTAGTTCAGATGGCTGATGGAAACCAGGCCCAGCTTGGTAAGCAAGCTTAAAAGTGTCAGACTGCTAGCACTGAGACCTAATGGGTAATTAAACCTTTAATACCGGTTCTTTCTTCCCTTAAAACAAAAAAATTCTAAAACCTGAATGTGTCCATGCAGTTAACTGCTCACCTGCCTATGTGGTATGGGTTTGGGGCAGCCCTGGAGGAAGGTATGGTTTGTTTGTGCGAGATAGTCGAGAAGGAAAATAGAATAAAGAGTGAGGCAGAGCAGCATCGCCTGGCCTGCAGCTCTGGAGGATGTGGTGTCTTCAGAGGGAAGAACCAGAATCAAATTCTAGCAGTGATTTAAATGTCTGAACACTGATATTTCACAGTTCTGTAGCAGTCAGCGCTGTCTTTAACCATTGCAGCCATGAGTCATTTAAATGGTCAGAAGCTTCACGGGAAGCCAATCCGTATAACGCTGTCCAAGCACCAGACAGTGCAGCTTCCTCGCGAGGGACAGGAAGACCACGGTCTGACCAAGGACTATGGAAATTCTCCTCTACATCGCTTCAAGAAACCAGGCTCCAAAAACTTCCAAAACATCTTTCCCCCTTCTGCCACTCTTCATCTGTCCAATATTCCGTAAGTATTCGCATGGAGAGTTCCTGTATGTCTGAGTACAAACAGAAATTCCTGGGAGTAAATTCAGTCAGCTTTTCCTTGCTAGCAGGAGGAAGCTTGTCCACCTTCCTGCTGTTCCTTGTGGCCTTGACAGTCCCAGAAGCTACTGGTAGAGAATTTAGAAAAGGCTCTGAGAATTGGGTTTTAGAGATTAATTTGGTCTGCTAACATACATTTAACAGGAAAAACTATTTGTTTCAGACCTTCAATAACTGAAGAAGACCTTAAGATGTTGTTTTCAAGCAATGGTGGGATGGTCAAAGGATTCAAGTTCTTCCAGTAAGTGTTTCCTCTTCTGTCCTGTTCTTACCTGGGGCTCTTCACTATGAGAAGGGTAGAAGCACTTGGTTCAGATTGAATTCCAACGCGGGCCGAGTGCAAGGTGAGCAGAATCATCACTAATGTAGTATTTGGCTCTCTGGAAGAAGGAATTCCAGAGTAGCCCTGGATTGAGGGCATGGTGGGTGCGAGGTGCAGAAGAAAACCGAGGTAGCTGAGAGAGAAGTTTGGATGTGCACGTTCATCGTACAGATGTACTCTTCCATATAAAAATAAAATACATCACAGTTGCCCAGGTGGTTAGTTTTCTGCTGGCCTTAAGTGCTAGGTAGGAAAACTTGCATCGAATTTGGGAAATTCTGCGTGCGGCTGTACTGAATGTGACTTAAACTTGTGTCTTGTCAGGAAGGACCGTAAAATGGCTCTGATCCAGATGGGCACTCTGGAGGAAGCCATTCAGTCACTCATTGACCTCCATAATCATGACCTGGGTGAGAATCATCACCTGCGTGTGTCCTTCTCGAAGTCCACCATTTAGAGCTTTGGAAGGTGTGAGAGAAAATGGACTTGACTTAAAACCTCTCGAGTTCAGCCTTGACCTTAAAAGGCTGAACACTAGGGTTTCAACTTCCATCATTCCAGAAAAAAAAGCCACTTTAAAAATGCAGCTGAAGTGACCTTAAAAGACCAGAGATTTTATTTTTTTAAAGAGAAATCAGTTTACCGGTTTTTAAAAAAAAAAAAGAAAAAAGTTAACCTAATTCATATTGCTAACCTTGCGGTGATGGGTAACAATCTTGACTGTTCAAATAAAAATCACAAGTTAAAGTTTACACTTCGGAACCTGCTCTGGGAAATTCCCCTCCCCTTCTGCTCCTTCTCCCCCAAAAAGCAGATCCTAACAAGTTTATCAGGTTTCACGTTGATGCCTTTTTTATTTTCTTTACCCATCCATGCCTTGAAAGACCTGGAACCACTGTGTAAATTCACTTGAGCGCCTTTGAGTCAGGATTTTGCAAAATGCATGGTGTACAGGAGCTCCCAACTCGCCCAGCACAAAAATAAGTTGCATTGATCCTACTTTAACTGTGCAGCTGCTATCCTGTGCCTTAAACCTTTTACTTCTTTGGGGAAAACATCTGAACTGTAGGGAGTGGATTGGGAGGGCTGAGGGGAAGGAGCGAGCGCGGGCTCACTGCTCGGCTTGGTGTGGAGAGGGAAAGTGAAGCTGGCAAAGTGGATAAAGAAAATATTGGGCTTTGACTCTTCAGGCAGTTGTATCCCACTGTCCGTGGAATGTCCCAATCTGCGTAGTATCATGTGTCTTCATGCCACTTTCCAATCTGCTTGAGGTTTATCACCATCTGCAAACCTTCAGTGGGAGTTATCCGAGATCCCTGTCCGTAACATCCAGACTGAGCAGAAAGGTCTGGGTGGGGAAGCGTTCCCGAGACAAATCACATTCCATTGTCCATAGCCAGTCGCCGGGCTCTGCCCTTCACAGGAGCATTGATCAAGACACAGAATTAACCACTGTTGGACACTTGTGAAGACGAATCATTAAGAGTTTGTCGAAATTGTGTGTGTATATATATATCTAAATACTTGGCTAGGATTTGAAGAATTATTGGATATCCCACATTTAGAAAGGTGTCTGTGTGAGCCACCTTCGTGCCCCTGATTCGAGATTAACAAGACCAATGTAGCTCTGCCGTCATTCTTATAGCATGTCTTCAGCATTTGAGCTTTTTGTTTTAATTCTTGTATTATACTTTTTGATGCCGTTGCTGTCATCTGTGCCTAGCAATATTTCCAGTTGACCAAATATTCTAATCTCTTTATATGCAAAAGAAATAGTTTAAGTACCTTTTTATAGAATGATAAGATGGTATAAACATAATCTAAATTTACTCCTTTGTGGTATTACCCTTGTATACTGTACTTTCTCTTTTTTTTTGTAATTGAAACTGTAGGGCAGGAATTTAGTTATCAGGCTGAGGTCATGACTGAGGGTGAGTAGTGTAATGAAATCGATACAAGATGCTGAACAAAGCAGATTTTTAAAGCGAAGCATTTGAGATAACAAGCACACATAGCTTGTGCATTTCAGTGAAAGGACCCAGGCAAAAGTTTTTACCTTTTTAAGCTTACAAGCCCAGATCTTCTAAGTTAGAGAAGGGAATTTATTAAAAGTAGGAAGCAGCAGATCGTTGTTTTCCCAATGATACAACGTTTATTTTTTTTCTGGCTTACAGCTCTTTCCCAGGCCATTCTGCCTTCTCTTCTGTGTAATCCGATGTTGCCTTACATTTCCCTCTAACCTGCAACCTGTTCGGATGCAAAATAACAAGAATCTTGTACTTTTTTTCAGGGTTTTTCTGCAAATTGTGGACCAAAGTTTGTTTTTAATTGTCTTAGTGTTGCAAGTTTTGATTTCCTTGCTTAGTGTGGGAGCTCTTGACTTGCCTAGCACTGAGTGTTTGGAGAAGTCTTAACTGTCCTTAGTTCCTCCCTGAGCTCTCGAGGACGTGAATTATGCTGGAGAAGCGTGTGAAGTCTGTGTGAGGGTTCCGCTTGGGTTGCTGGCACGAGATCGGTTTTACTTCTCTGCCTTTGGCTCATGGCTGAGGAGCGTGAAACCATCTTCAAGGAAGGCGTTGAGCCGAGCCAAGGCTGAGCTGCCGGGTCAATGCTGGTTCCAGTTCCCTCTCGATCCTGTTAGCGAGGCCAGGTCATGGCCTCTCCGGAGAGCTCTGGGGTTCTGTGCCAGCATCGTATCCAGGAGGGCAAACCCGGGTGTCTCGGTGTAGTTGTCAGAGTTCATTTGCTCATCTCCTTCCCAAAATGACGAATCCCTTCCTCTGCAGCCGGGAGCGCGGGCCGTGGGGCTGGCAGCACCCCGGTGAGATCCGTGCGCAACCCAAGCGGAACAGCGGTGGTGTAACCGATAAATCGTTCCATCGGCCTCGTCCAGGGTGCTGGGAAGAGGCTCGTTGGAATGAAACCTGTCTGGTGGCCTCTGAGCTGGTCAACCCACAGGCTGGATGTGTTTTGCAAAATGCAAGCAAGCGAATTGAGGGAACCCCGGAACCCCGGTAGCTGTGGGTTTTTCCTTTGGATCCCTGTGTTTGCATGTAAAGAATGTGAGTAACAAAAGGGTGTACATATTTATAATTTTTTTATACCTGTTGTAAGACATGAGGGGGCAGCAAAACCCAGTTTTTTATGGTGAACAGATGTATTGTATATTTTGATAACAGCTATTACAGGTTCAGTATTGTGGAAGGTGGGGTGGGGAGGGTAAGCATACACAACATCAGAATTCCATTGCCTCTTTCAAAGAATGTTTGTAATGCAAAAAGAAATGAAATTAAAACTATTTTATAACAACCTTTGTACCTTTCTGTAGCTCCATTATTTACTGTCAGATTGTAGAAAGCAGTTATTGGCCAGTCTGTACTTGTGCTTTCAATAAATTTCTTCTGTATTCTTTGCTCTGATTTTCCTATCTTTTTATTGTGCCTATTTTGCTTCTGATTTTTCTTTCTGATGTAATTTCAGCTGCCTCATTTATATAACTTTGACTCTTCCCATACCTCGGGGCTGGCAGTTTGTCCCTACTGGCGTCTGTGCAGGATGAGGGCTGGGGGGTCCTGGGAGGGGGCCGGGTCGGCTCCAGCCCCTGGGTGCTGGGCTGGCGTTGGGGGGCTGGCGTTGTAGGGCTGTAACTGATGCTCTGCCTTTGTCACACTTTTTTTTTTTTACTTCATGTTCCTAAACTTTCCATATATCCTAGCTAATACCCATTAATAACCCACTTTCGAGTCAAATTTGTCCTCCTCTCTGGTAGTGTGCTGTGGCAGCGTTGTGGCCAGCTGCGGCAGCTCCCCTGCGGCCTCACGGACTAGGTTCTGGTGTAACCCCGG